TACAAGAAAGTAGAACGAGGTACCCAGGTAAATTAATTATAATCGTGGTCAAAACATTGAATCATCGCACAAACTTATCTTCTTGGTGTTAATTATGCAAAATTTAAATTTTGTACAATAAGGGCGAACTTCATTCTTATTTCATTTGATAACACTTTGTTGTAATTGGGAGAGTAAACTCTTTCTTATTTGGTCGTATCAATTTTGTTTTAAGTAAATGTTTCGTAAACATTTTTATGCAACCTGTACTTTCAAACTTATTTTAGAATCTACTAAAAGAGTTATCAACTCACTTGTCAATTTAATTTATAGCCCAGTTTTCTGTAGACCAGTTAATCGGGATCCTATTATATGAATATAATGAAAATGCATGTACATACTATTATACATATGACATAATATTATATTCGGCTATAATGAATATTCAGAATTGTGTAGACATTCTATTAATTTGTATTTGATTAGTTATTTATATAGAATGTACATTCTCTAAAAAGTTTTTCTCTGCCATCTTTTATGCACGAAAGAACTCTCACGGTTATATGAAAATATGACTAAAAATACATACAAGCATACAAATTTATGGAAACTAAAAAATGTAACTAATTAGACATAAAAAGAGTACTTTGTATTACAGATGCAACATGACTAAAATTCAGTTGTTTCTACCAACTATCAATCTTAGATTTATTTATTAATTACTTCTCAACTACCCCTATCGTGAGTTGGCAAAATATAAGCGTTGAGGTTCCTTTACTGAATCGAGATTCTACTATCTAAATCCTAGTGTAACATAATCATCTATTACATCTACTACAGAATACTACAGTGAAGAAAGTTATGTTTGAATAAGCATTGTGTTCAATGAAAAAAAAAGAAGTCATTTTTAGTCAAATGTTGACTCTATAATTATACAGGGTGTCTCTGAAATCATGGTACAAACGACAAGATGGTTTTTATTTAAGTTTCACAATCAAATAAAATTTGAAAATTTAAATTAAATCTCTAATAAGATATTAAAAGAGAATTCG